CCCTTTCACACCTCTGTTTGCTTAAAATGCCCTCGGACTAAAAACTGGTGCTATCGGCAGTCCATCATATGAATGAGTTGTTCAAAATTCGGTGCCTCGAGCCCATCTAGATTTAGATGGGGTCTCCACGCAGACGGCGAAAGAGGAAAAAATATTATTTGCTGCGATATTGGATCGATTTTTGGAGTGTTCTGAAGCTGCATTCTAATTTGCGGTCCTAACTCCGGAAGGGTGGATAGTGTGCAACCAACTTCTTGCATATCATTCAGACGGGCAACCCGAGCCTTGAGAAGGATTACGTGATTTGCGTTATTATTTCATATTTTAAAACTGGGTGTGCTGCTGTACAAGGAACTCGTTTGGACTTCCGACGATGATGTTTAGGACAAATCAGATAAAATGCATAATTAACAACCGTATAGGTAGTTGGCAACACGTCACCAGAGGGTGACACAAATCGTGGCCGGTAGTAAAATACACCGAAAGGCGTAAATTAATTTGAGTAGTAAGCGCTGCCCGTCAAACACGCTAAGTATCGTGTCGAAAAGCTTGTACTGCTGACAATCTAGAACACTTTAATGTAGATTTTGATTTTGTTGGGGAAGAACACGTGTAAAGGTAGCCACGAATATGAGTAACCTGTTTAGATCTGGTCTGCTGTCTCTTGAGGTAATATAATGCACACTGGAAATCACATTATTTAAAGAGTGCAAATGTGCAATTACTGAAGATTAACAGCGTTCTCGTGGGAGACTGGATTTCGCCAGGTAGTGATTTGCTTGTTGTTCGTAGCGGTTTTAATAATGCACGTCATACAATGACCGATCTCATGAAGTGTTGACCGAAATTCTGAAGTGCGTTTTCAATTAGGAAAAACTACTTAGGTGAGTTATAAAACTGATTATCATGCGGCATAATCCTAACGTATTCCAGGTTTTCCAGGATGCCGGCTCTTAAGTGCACTTCCTTTCGACCTCATATAGAGGCCACACTCAGTAAAAAAAAACTATTTTCTTACGTAGCATGTATTTTTTACACTGATTTCCGATAGTGTTGTAAATTCAACCTTATTTTGTAGCAAACATGCACAAAATAGGCTTGCTCATAAAATGTAAAACGTAGTCCGCATTCATTGTAAAATTTTATGAACCCTATATAATATTTCCATAAAGGTATAGAGGGATATATGATTTTCCTCACGCAGAAAGCATGCAACTTGAAGACTGGAATCGTTAAACGCTGGCACAACGGCTGATCGGCTTGAAATTATTCTGGAATTGGGAAACTTTTCAAAAACCTAAATATACACTTTTTCGGACATTATATTTAAAGGTATTGTGATTTTCTACCAAATGAGTGAAAGAAAGCACATTCTCATGCATGTTTTCTATAAAGTATGCTTGAATTTATAGCACTATCGGAAATCAATGTGAAAAATGCATGTTACATAAGTAGTCATTTTTCATCGAGTGTGCTTTCTGCAGGAGGTAGAAAGGAATAACATTTGAAAGTCAACATCCTGGAGAGTTCGCAATATTATAGGGTTTGGCCACATAATATTCAATGTTACAAGCCTGCCTAAGTAATCCTTTCTGATCGAAAACGCATTTCAGAACCTCGGTGAACATTTCATGAGTTTGGCCTCGGAGATGCTATCTCAGGTATCCACGAGGCTGTTAATACTATAAACTTTAATGCGCAATAAAGAATTAGGAAAATAACTTGTCTTTATGCCTTATACAATAGTTTAGAGGGAAAAACTAAACTCAAAGTGTAGGATTCTCTGCATTACACAAATGTCCCATAGCTGCTATTCCGTGGAAAATGTCTCATATTTAACGCAATCGTGCTAGACTAAGCGGCCAATCACGCAGTGATTTCTTGATTGCATACATCGCTCACATTCTTTTAGATTTTGAACAACTGGAGCACCAGATTCAGTACATCCAGATGCGTGCACAAGCCTAAGTGATGTGTTTTTCGTCCAGCGGGGCATATGGTCGGATAAAGGATGTCATGAACCTTTGAACAACTACTTTAAAGTCTGAACACTGTCAAAAATTGTCAAGTAGTTTTCATTGTTTTTGACTCGCGAACTCACAGACGCGAATATATGGCCTGCCGCTCGCAACAGGACAGTTGTTAACATGTAAGATAATGCAGGCAGTCGCAGTCACTAGTTCAGTGATTAATCGGAAATCAATAAGAGGAAGATGGGGGTGTGGGCTTCTGACTTGTGTAGCCTCATCAGTCAGGAAAACCCGACCCGAAAAAAAACGACATGCGATTTGAATACGACGGACTGCTTGTTTAGCATACAAGTCAACCTATTGAACAAATCACTCTTGACTAACTTCCTGACGGTCCCTATCCATGGTATTGGGTCTATTAAGGTTGGGTTTCGTCCACCTGTTTGTAGTGAAGGAATGTCTGCTGTCTGTTAGATTGATATTGCAAGCTAAAGGCACCGCAGTACGTAATGAATATGTTATAGAGTCTCCTTTGCCTGAGGATAAACTATCATTAGCTGATGAACGAGAATAAGCCTTTGGCAGTAATTCCATTCGCAACGCATCTCCTTGGCTTGCGTCCTACAAAATTTATCCTCCCATTCGTTCTGTTTGCCTTTGCTCCTGATTATTTGATGAAATTTTCGCCGACAGATATGAATTTGAGATGATAACGTATGCAGTAAAATATTTGAATTATTTATGCACTGGGCATGGAGACTGCCGGTAAAGATGAGGGCGTTAGAAGAGCGATGTATTCACGACAAACTTATTTTAACTGCATTTAAAATACCAAGGCGTGGTTATCGTGAGACATCAGAAGCCAACGAGACATCACCACACGGTTTCAAAGATGCAGTCATCAAACCACAAGCCCCGAGTGCGCTCCGTACTTAACCGGCTCTTAAGCTAAATATCGGTGGGCAAAGGTATGCATTTTGATAATGAAAATTGCAACTTAGGGAGCATCCTCAAAGTAAGTTTCGTCATCTTATCATAATAGGGACACCGTCGAAAAAAAATTGGTGAAGTAATGCAAATCAACAGTTGTCTTTACTAGAAAGCCGAGCGGGTAAATCTGGCGAGCACAAAATTTGGGTTGAGGACTTGAACATGCAAACTGCATAGAAAACTACGGATGTCAAATGCAAGGGTCGTGAATAAAAAGGGAGTAGCGATATGAATATAACAGACATATGAACTTATCGCAGGTTTGAGTCTCTGGCGAACTTATTTGTTTGCCGAATATCATTCGCAGACATCACACTTGTGCGGTATTTCGCATTGCGTAATCCGTACTGTCGTAGAGAGGGCGAAGTAATGAGTCGAGTCCCTAAATATCCTCAATATCCGATTAAGTATTCAGTGTGAATTCCAAGACACCAGTTCATATGTGTTTACATATTCTGCAACGCGCTTACCTCAGACTCGACGTTGGTTGTGCAGTATGCTCTTCGTCATACTGTTCTGTGTTTAAAAACTTCACTTGGAAGTGCCACTCTCGAAAGACTCATCACATAATTTTAACAATGCCATTTAAAGCACGTATATTTTACTGAATTGATAGCTACCTCGTTGGTACCCGCAACACATATCTACAAGACGGCAAAATTTAAGTTCCAAAATTTCACATATTGTGGTACACGTCGATTTCAGTACGGAACTCGCGATATCCATCAAGTATGTCGTCTACTGTTTGAAAGAACTGGCACAGCCCAAGGATACAGAATATCTAAATGCCATTAATTTCTTTAGTGATAAAAATAATTGCAGTAGCGTTTAGTGCATTAGGAAAACTGTTCAGGATTCATACCTTCTCACCCAAAACGTGTCTTGACAGTTCGACCGTTGTTGCCGACAATGTCCACCGTGTGCTCCACGTCACGGTGAGAGCGGGGACAGTAAATTGTGCGTGACTTTGTTTAAAGTGATGGATGACTTGCACAGAATCTACCGCACTCTTGAAAAAGGTGACACTAACGCTGGGAGAAGAGCTGACGTTTCGGATTCCTGCACGAACCCATCATCAGAGGCAAAGGCAGAAACGGGTGGTTTATGCACAGGGAGCTGCAGTATTTATAGGATTCAGTCGCTATGCTACCGCATACCTTTGAATATTCACGGCTTCCCCTTCATCAGGGATCGGTGCACTTGGTGTGCTGACTGTTTAATGGCCGACATTAGCGTCGTTAATTGCGGCAATTTCATCACGTGCGTTGGATGTTGTTGTGATGACTGCCTGACTATCTGATCCACTGACCCTGGCGTTGGGAAGTGCTCACTTTTGCGCTTCCCGCGTGGCTAATTACTCCGCCTAGGCGAAGTCTCAGCATTGGGCATGGAAGGGGAAGGTCATTGCACTCGTTAATGGACTAGGGGGTTAGTAAATCATGATTCAAGTAGCTGCAGGCTCACGCGGTTGTCACTTCTTGCGAGAATTTCGGCTTCGTCGAATTTGAATGTGTGGCCGGATCTCATCGATAGAGCCAGGCCTGTAGGCCATTAAGAAGGGCGCGGGAAGTGCTATCCATGTTCGAACGTGATGCGCTTGGGAGCTCAAGGCCGACAAAGACAAAGGGGGAGCCGTGAATTTTCATAGGTATGCGGTAGCATGGCTACGGAATCCTATAAATACCGCAGCCCTTTGTGCAACAACCACCCGTTTCTGCTTTTTTGTCTCTGATGATGGATTCGAGTAGGAATCCGAAACGCCAGGCTAATAAAGCTCTTGTCCCGGCGATCGTGTCTCCTTCTTCAAGACTACTTCCTGGGACTCGTCTCTTCCCTTCTGTTGGCAATGTATTTGAGCGCAATGCGCTCCGATCGGCCCGGCGATGGGAAACCTTCGCCCTTCGGGAGGCCTCTACGTATTCGCAGATCCGGTTTCTGCACAGGTGTCTCGACAATGATGTGTTACTGAAATGTGTTTCATACAAGCCACCGGTTAAAACGGATTTGGCGAGACGAGCAGTATTTAAGCACGGCAGAAGGATGATCCGAGTGCTCCTCCAAGATTGCAACGCGAGACTTCGCAAGTACCGTCAAAGGATTGACGAAGAAAAGACCAGATGCTGTGAGTTCATGGGTGAGATCAGTACGAATCTGCTCCTGCGGAAGATAGCTGAACAAGCCCGCGAACAGAGCATGGTACGCGACGCAGCACTGGAAAACAAATTTCGAAAGCTGCCCTATCCAACGTCACCCAGAAACGACAAACGGGTGCACAACCTGTCATCAAAGGATCGGATGACGAAGGATCAGATGCAGGTTTTACGGCACGAAGCTTCATTTAACATGGCTGACGCCAAACCTGTTAACATGATTGCAGCAGTGGAATCAATCCTTTGTCAGACGGAGGCAACGGAGGAGACTAAGAGTCTCATCCGACACCAAGTGTCGTCTCTCCTGATGGCCCACAGGCCGCGGGAAGTGCTTTCCAAGGTCGAACGTGATGCGCTTAGAGAACTCAAAGCCGACAAAGACCTGGTCATTGCGCCAGCGGACAAGGGGTGCTCACGGTTGCACTGGACAGGACAGACTACCTTCAAAAAGCCAAAGGTTTACTGGAGGACAAAAAGTTCTATGTTCCATGTGCGACCGACCCTGTAAAAGCGCTGACACGCGAAATTAATGCTACGTTGTTGGCCTTGGAGAACTCAGGTGCAATAACATCGGCCGACAGACGCATGGTGAGACCCCAAGATACGGCTTTGGCCCGATTCTATGGCCTCCCTAAGGTGTACAAAGACGACGCTCCTCTCCGACCAATCTTGTCACTCACAGGTACTCCAACGTACGGACTGGCTAAGTGCCTGTTCTGGCGTCTCAAGTTCCTGACCGCGCAGTCAGACACCACGGTCTCTTCGTCAGCACAATTCATGGAAAAACTCAAAGAGGTAAGCCTCCATTCAAATGAGGTCTTGGTGTCTTTTGAGGTCACACCCCTTTTCGATTCTATTCCCCAGGACCTAGCGATCGAGACAATCGAACTGCTTCTATAAGGCAAGTACGATGAAACTGAGAATCGTCTTGGACACGCCCAAGTTCTTCAGCGCCTGAAGTTCCGTCTCAGGACGCACTTCATGTTCGACGGGACAATCTAGGAACAGGTGAGGGGCACACTAATGGGTTCATCCATATCGGGATTCATCGCCGAGGCGGTCCTGCAACGGTTAGAACGTTGGTCTTCCAACACCACAGACCGAAGTTCAGGGCCCGGTATGTGAATGGTACATTCGTCGTTATCGAACGAGATCGGCTGCTGACATTCAAGGAACATGTGAGTACGGTCTTCCAAGAAATACAGTTAACGATGTAAAACCCAAAGTGTTCAAGGAAGCGACAAATATGATGCAAGTACTGACTTTTAACAGCAACCACCCAATCAGAAACAAACGCAGTTGTGTAAGGACGCTCTATCGGTGTGTCGAAACGCACTGAAGTGAGCTGGAAGACAACGTTGCCGAACTAAATTACCTCCGACGGGTCTTCGAAGCCAATAGCCACCCCACGCAACTTCCTCAACCGGTGCATACGCAACGGGGACAAAAGGCCTAACTGCATGAACACCAAATCTTGGCGAGCGCTTCCGTATGTCAAGAACGTTTCGGAAGATGTCGGCCGCCTTCACGCACCACTTGGGGTTGGTGTTGCACACAGAGCAATAAAAACCGAAAGACCCAGCGCCACGGCAAGAAACATCTGGAGTCGTTTACCGAATGTAGTACAGTTGCGGACAAAGCAACTTAGTCGGAAAAACCGGAAGACAGCCTGAATGAGAATGGTCGAACTCGCTGCAGCTGTGCGGAGAAATGATGCCAGCTCTCAAGTTGCAGCTTATTCGACGAGATCCGGCCACAAATTCAAATTCGACGAGGCCGAAATTCTCGCAAGAGATGACAACCGCGTGAGCCTGCAGCTACTTGAATCATGGTTTACTATCCCCTAGTCCATCAACAAGTGCAATGACCTTCCCTTTCCATACCCAATGTTGAGACTTTGCCTAGGCGAAGTAATTAGCCACGCGGGAAGCGCAAAAGTGAGCACTTCCCAACGCCGGGGTTAGTGGATCAGATGGTCAAGCAGTCACCACATCAACATCCAACGCACGTGATGAAATTGCCGCAATTAACGACGCTAATGTCGGCCATTAAACAGTCAGCACACCAAGTGCACCGATCCCTGATGAAGTCGAAGCTGTGAATATTCATAGGTATGCGGTAGCATAGCGACTGAATCCTATAAATACTGCAGCTCCTTGTGCATAAACCACCCGTATCTGCCTTTGCCCCTGATGATGGGTTCGAGCAGGAATCCGAAACGTCAGGCTAATAAAGCTCTTCTCCCAGCGATCGTGTCTCCTTCTTCAATACTGCCTCCTGGGAGTCGTGTTTTCGCTTCTATTGGCTACCGTACTCTCTCATTCTGTGTCAAGAGCGATAGCCAAGAAGATCAGGGACGATATCCAGCACGCACCTTGGTGTTCCACTCCACTTCCCCTTGTCCACACAGAAAATGACCAGGTT